AACTGTAGCTGCTGACTTTTAAAATATAACCACTTACCTGTCCCTCGGACCACCGCTGGTTTCACCAGCCTTCTTCTGTCCCTGGTGCAGGCATCTTCAATGTGGGCACCTGGCTGTGTCAGCTTGTGGCTTCATAGCCGGGTGCCCACTGCCCATGCGCAAGAGGTGCTGCGCTTTGTGAATGGCCCCATAGTCTTCTGGGACCTGTCACGTGTCCCAGAAGACTACAGGGAGGGAGGACAACTTCATTCGATCGCAGCGGAAGTGGGAGCGGGTATCTGTCAAATTCGGGTACCCGCTCCCCAAAGTTACCAATCCTTAATGGAGAGCAGGGGACAAAGGCTTAAAGTGGAACTTCCCCTTTTGGTAGGAGCTCCGCTTTAAGGAAATCTGGCCAGACCTAGAAAATAGATTGCTGCTCTACTGAGTACAACAGAGTCAAAAGCTAAATGTAGCCTGTCTGTGTATATATATATTGGTAATTGATATTTTTGATTGCACCCTATTGCTATTAAGCTATTGCTGTTATGTTCAAATTGACATAATAAAACTATGTTATAATTGCAGTTTTTTATATTTTGGACTCTTTATTCTAAAGAAAAATGTAATTTCATAAGCTTTAAGGGGGCATGGTTGGGGGCAGGGCTGGGGTGGGGGGATGAGTCAGGGGTGGGGTTGGAGGCGGACCTGAGCAAGGTTGGGTGGGGCAACTGGTGGAGAGTAAGGTTTGTGCCTGGCTAGTAGGTCTGGACTCGAAATTTTAAGCCCTGATCTATGGTATCATGGCTGGGGACCATGAAGCAACTTTAGCACAGGTAAAGGTAGACTGAAACTGTCTACATACAGGATCACATCTGGGGACCATGAAGTAGTCTGATAACAGGTAAAGGCAGACTGGACAGCCCACAGGATCATGGCTGGGGATCTTGAAGTAGGTTTAAGAAAAGGTGAAGGTAGACTGGAACAGTCCACAGGTTGATGGCTGGGGACCATAAATTGAGGTGCATCACAGAAAGGAGGCTCTACTCACAGAATCCTGGAACAGGATCAGTCCATAGCTGCACCCTCTTGTAGAGTAGTCCAGCATCCAGTCTAAAGAGGTCCAGGGGCAAGCAGCCCCCCTCCTCTCAGCTCACAGATCCATTCCCTCAGGGTGGAAAAAGACCATCTCCTCAGGGATTCAGAGCCCAGCCACCATCTGGGCACATCTCCCCAGGGATTGGCTAGGCCCTGCTCAGTATTCAGTCTAGTAATTTGACTTCTCCCTCCCTAAGTTCCAGAAGCATCTTCTAGAGACAGTGGGAAGCAAACTCTCAGCCTGTGAAGCCCTGAGCAGACCAAACCAGAACAATCACCTCTTCCCTGATCACAGAAGGAGCCAAAAACTAGATTTACCTAGCATACTAACAAGGAGGGTGCTACACTATTTTTAAAGTGGACCTGTATACTTTTCTTAAATTAGAAAGAACCTGTCAGGATAGGAATATTGGAACTACCACTATTGACTTGACTCGCAAAGGCGAGTAAGGCTGGGTAGGTTTAAACAGACCCTTTCACTTTCCCTGAATGTGCCAGTTTACAGGTTCCCTTTAAAGTACACTTCTTAAAGTATGAAATCTTTATCCTTGCTTAATCCTTTCACTGCCAGATCCATACACCATACAGACTTGACAGCAGGGGGTTTTATACACAATCCAGTAGTTGCAGGCATTGGGATTGTGTATAAAATTGACCGGCAAACTCCTGCCTGTCAAGTGGAAGCAGTCAGGCGGCTCCACTGCCGCCAATTGCTTCCACAGCCACCAGTTCTGTTGCCCCCCCCTTCCCCCACGGGCGCACTCACGCCTGGTAACCAGGCCCAGCTTGCCCATCTGCAGGTCCAGGGAGAACCATGGCGGGTGCCAGCAGATGGAGGGAAGAGAAGAGAGTGTCCGCTCCTCTCCCCTTCTTTTTGTGTGGCCTAGAAGGCAACATCCATGACGTCACTTTCGAGTCACGGCTGTCACTTTCCCGGCTAGAATAGCTGGGGAAAGATGTATTGCAATGCGGGTCTTTTAGACCCTGCATGTCTCAATAAAGAGAGTTTGTCATCTAAAAATCATCACATAAGGGAATTTGTGTCCCCTATGTTATGAAAAAAAAAGTTAAGTTAAAAAAAAAGGTTTTCTTTGTAAAAAAAATAAAGTTACACCCAAGCACATAACATCACCTCCACCCCCCCAAAAAAAATTTGAGCCCCACCCCTAAATATACACATGCACGAACATAAATGCACACATTATTATTATTATTATACAGTATTTATAAAGCGCCAATAGTTCGCTCAGCGCTGTACATTACAAAGGGGGACAGAACGTGACAGAACAATACCAATACAATGCAAAACATGAAGGGATTGAGGGCCCTGCTCTTTCGAGCTTACAATCTAGGAGGGAGGGGATGGTGGCACAGGAGGAGATAGCTGTGGGGGATGGAGTGGTAGGAAGAGTGGAGGAGGTCGGCAAGTTAGCCACATAGTGGTGCCGATGCGTGAAAACGTAGATTGCGGTAAGTTACATATCGCTGTGCATGCCGGTGTGAAAGCAATAATACTAACACCGGACTTCCTGTGTAATGCCAAATTGATGACCTATAGGGGCTTTTGAAGCGTTGTCTATAGAAAATATAGGTTACTGAAATTTGTCACCATTTCATAGGCGCACGCAAATTTAAGGTTTGGCATGTTGGGTATCTATTTACTTGGCACAACCTCGTCTTTTATATTTTACCAAAAAATTGTGTAATTAATTGCCTTTGTTTGCCCTAAAATTCACTTTAGTATGATTTTTACTAAACCTTTGCACTTCCTAGACCTTTGCAAATAATGTTGTGTGACCTTAAAAATTGGAAATACCACTATTTTATTCTCTAGCGTGTTTACTTTCAGAAAATATATAATGTTTGGGGGTTTTGTGTAATCTTCAGGCCTAATATGAATTTTTAAGCATGTGTGCAAAAAATGCAAAAATGGCTGTGGCAGCAAAAGGGTAAAGCAAACCTGTGCCCATATCATGCACATCAGACAGCCTGTGTAAGTGAATGGAAACCCAATGGCTGTATGGACTCACCCACACAGCTGAATTTGACAGGTATGCAGGGATGGTTGCAAACAAGACTGAATGCTGAGAAATGACTTTTCAGCTTGAAAGAAATCCTACTGCTGTATGGCCAGCTTAAACATGTGAATAGCAAAAAAATCCAGCTTGATGATTTTTTGTGAAGTCTGTGCTTTTGTATGGTAATGTCATAAATAAGGTGACGGGTAACTACCACTGATTAACTTCTACAAAATGAATTGACTACTGACCTATGCTAGTTAAATGTATGACAGTCATGTAAAGTAGCACTGAGAGGAGAAACTGCAGAATATTAATTCCAGCTCCAAGCTCTGGACTTCAGCCTATTTTGATTTCAGCTCTGCTCTAGCTTCAACACGGCTCCTGCTCTGCTCCAGCTGAGGGTTTATCTAAAAATATAACCTCTACTCTGCCTGCCCTGATCTGAACTGTAATAACATTCAGTTGTACGGATGAGGTGTTCTTAATGTAGAAAAGATATTCCAGAATCTGAAAGAAAAAGAATTGCAACTCTACTTGCTCTTTTGTAGTCCCCTCTTTTCTGTCCAGCAACAAGGATCACAATAGCAAATAGCCACAGTGCATTTTTCTCATGGGGGGGACACATGCAACAATAAACATCTGACAGAGGCTCTAACCTCCTCTGGTATATAAAACTAGAAGAAAAATCATATAGCCTCTGGCATTGGGGCTTGGTTCACACTGCCACGACATGGGATCTGACTTGTGAGACCCCAGGTTGCATGACATGTGAAATCCTATGTTAATCAATGAGAGCTGTTTTAATTAGCACTACTCCGACTTTAGAAAAGGTTCATGTACTACTACAAGGCAACTTCTATTTGACTTGTGCCCATAGACTTTAATGGAAGTCGCCTCCAAGTCGGATCCTCATCTTTATTGATGTGATTTGGATCCGACATTACAGGAATATTACCCAAGCATTCCCTGAAAGTTATACTGGATGAGGGTGCGTTTCCCTATGCACCATCTGGCCAATTGATGAATCTAAAATATATAACCTTTATTGAAATATATAAAAAATGTATGCTCAGCTGCAATTAATAATTTTTTGGAGAGGTCTGTACTGCGTTTTACAGTGCATCATTTGCATTCCTCAAGACAGTGAGGTATTTTTGAGCAGATATGGTGACGTATGGGGCTTATCCATGGGAGGCTGACATTTAAGCCTGTGGATGAGTGTACCTGTATTACATATCTGTAGCAAGATAGATTATACTAATTAGTTTTGTCCATTTCCTTAACAGAGATTATATATTCAAGGTTTATGATCAAACTACAGTGCCTCTTTCACTTCATCTAAAACGGTATGGTATTTGATTTGGTCTGGTGTTATTAACCATTTGGATGCAAGGTAAATAATTGCAATGGTATCCAGTCATATGGTTGTACTCAGTGCATTCCACTCCAGTAGGCATTAATTAAAGCTGAGCATACATTTTTTATATATTTGAACAAAGGTTATATACTTTAGATTCATCAATTGGTCAGGTGGTGCGTAGGGAAACGCACCCTCGTCTGGTATAGATTTTTTATTTGCCAAAGATGATGATTTACAATTAGGGCTTAGTTCAATAGTTAATTCCTTGAAAGTTGCTTCAGAGTCACTTCAAAGTAGTACTCAAGTTGCTTGGCAAAGTCGCACTGTAAATCGTGCGACTTTCAGGTTGCAGTAATGTGAACCAAGACTAACACATTATCTGTACCCTAAACCCATGTTCATGTTTTATGTTATTTCTTTCTTTTAGAGTGCCAGTTTTATCATCCTATTTTTGTATACAACATAATGTGATGTACATATACATGTAAATACAGACATTCCCATTAACTTCACACTGCAAAAAAGATTTATTTAGCCATTACCTGAATATTGGACTTTGTCCTCCAACTCTTGCTTTGGACCAGGCCAAGGCTGAAGGCACAGCTAGATAATCCATCCCCACATTATCTTTTCTGTTTTGCGTGAACATTGCAGTACTCTCATCATTTGCACATACTGATGAGCCTGAAGAAAAGGCTTTACCAGGGCTTGTGGACTCCTCAGGCCTAACAGGTGCCACTGTCTGCTCTGCTGAGGTTCTTCTGGCCTTTTGCGGAATGTTATCGCCTCTCTCCAGAGAAGTTGATGTTGTTTGTTGGTTATGTTCAGTGGGTTTGGGGGAAGCTTCTGTTTCTGATGAGAGGTTCTCATCCCCTAAGCTTCCTCGGCGAGAATGGGATGGGGAAGGGGAGCTGGTTTGGCGAACACCTTCATCATTTGAATTTGAATACCTTCTTTTACCACAGGGAGATGTAGGTCTTGAAACCTGGCCAGAATGGTAGGGTGATAGTAACTCTTCACGGGATGAAAGAGGAGCACCTGAAATGGGACCAGCTGGCCAAAATTCATCATTGTGACCACCCCAAGGTTTTGGTGACCCCCTTGGAGAGCCCAGTGGAGAGGCAAGTGTGAATCGAGAAGCTGCTTCATTAAGCTCTCTTTCAACTTCTTCACACATTTGTCCAAGAGAATCACAAGAAGAAGCCTCAGAGGAAAGAAAACTCCATGAGGAATGGCTGCTTGCTGGACTAGGACTTAGAAATGAGTCCCTATAACCAAATGGATCTGGTGGGAGGAACAGCTGGTCACGGTGAGGTCTCTCATCCCAAATATCATTCCTACTTGACTCTTCTTGTTCTCCATCACTGTTTGAAGGCGAGTCACTTGTAATACGTATACTTGGACATTCAAGGAAACGTGATCCACCAAGAGGAATAAATCGGGATGGTTGGCTGATAAATGTCCCATTTAGATCATTATCTGAAGCTCGTCTTGGAGGAGGTGAATGCATGCCTGCCCTTGTTATACAACCCATTCCATTACTTGCTCCTCCAGTGACACTGGTAGGAGGTGGATTTAGAGTCAATGTGTCTGTGGTCACATCTTTGCTTATAGCAGGATCATCCGCTTCCAGATCTGCAGCGATATGGCAAAAATATGTTAGAGTATTAGATAACACAGACATATACTGTTGATTCACTAAAGATAAAAAAAAATTGCACTAAATGCAAACATTTTGGTCTGAGCTTTAAGTTATCCATGTAGTGCTGTTGTAACTGTTTTTTTTTCACATATTAGAAATATGAAAGAAAGCTTTTCTTTAGACTGGGTTATTGCACACTGCCCAGTGTGCATTATAACAATCTCTATCACAAGCTGCTGAAAGTTGTATCCTGATTAAAACTGTTAGGGCATACCACTATTATTTGCACTATTCTGCTAATAAAATGGACCTCACGTTTTTATGTTTTATATATGTTGCTCTTTTAAGTTAACCTTATGGGTTTTGTCACTGTTGGCAATATTGTCCATCACTACCTGTCCCACTGGCCACCACACCGCATTGCTCTTTAAAGACCCTTTTACCTTACTATCCCAAAATTGGTACAGATATTTCACCAGGTACCTAGTGTCACTTTTGTCAGCCCAGCCCCTACTAAACTCTCTAACAGATTGCATTGAAAATGTACTCCAAATAGCGTAGACTAAGGCTTGGTGCGGGTGGTGCCCCTGCGGGACCTGCGCAAATACCTGCAGCCGCACCACCCACACAGAAGAATGGAGGACCCACGAGCGGGTGTCATTACTTCTACTGGAATCACAACTGTACTGGGAACCTTGGTTCCTGTGCGGGCTGTGATTTCCAAAGATGTGCAGGGACTTCTTCCCTGCATGTTCCAGGTACGGGAATCCATTCAAATGAATGGGCTCTTGTGTCCACACAAATCGTGGCCTACACGGCCGCACAAAGGTGAACCTGGCCTTAAAGTCTAGCTCATAGCACTATCCAGGTAGATACTGGGGAAATCAGGACAATAAATACCGTATTTTCCGGCGTATAAGACGACTGGGCGTATAAGATGACCCCCTACTTTTCCTGTTAAAATATAGGGTTTGAGCTATACTCGCCGTATAAGACTACCCCTCTTCCAATGCACACCAAATAAAAATGAAAAAACATCAGATTTGATTTCAATATGGTATGGTATTTCAGTATGGTATTCCAATGATGGGGTGCTATTCCTCCCACTGACACCAATGATGGGGCACTTTTCCTCCCACTGACACTAATGATGGGGCACTATTCCTCCCACTGACACCAATGATGGGGCACTTTTCCTCCCACTGACACTAATGATGGGGCACTATTCCTCCCACTGACACCAATGATGAGGCACTACTCCTCCCACTGACACCAATGATGGGGCACTATTTCATCCACTGACACCAATGATGGGGCACTATTCCTCCCACTGATACCAATGATGGGACACTATTCCTCCCACTGACACCAATGATGGTGCCCCATCATTAGTGTCAGTGTGTGAGGAATAGTGCCCCATCATTAGTCAGTGGAAGGAATAGTGCCCCATCATTGGTGTCAGTGGGAAGAATCGTGCCCCATCATTGGTGTCAGTGGGAGGAATAGTGTCCCATCATTAGTGTCAGTGGGAGGAATAGTGCCCCATCATTGGTATCAGTGGGAGGAATAGTGCCCCATCGTTGGTGTCAGTGGGGGAGAGGAATAGTGCCCCATCATTGGTGTCAGTGGGGAGAATAGTGCCCCATCATTGGTATCAGTGGGGAGAATAGTGCCCCATCATTGGTTGTCAGTGGGGGAGGAGGAATAGTGCCCCATCATTGGTATCAGTGGGGAGAATAGTGCCCCATCATTGGTGTCAGTGGGGAGGAGGAATAGTGCCCCATCGTTGGTGTCAGTGGGGGAGGAATAGTGCCCCATCATTGGTATCAGTGGGGAGAACAGAGCCTCATCGTTGGTGTCAGTGGGGGAGAACAGAGCCTCATCGTTGGTGTCAGTGGGGGAGGAACAGTGCCTCATCGTTGGTGTCAGTGGGGGAGGAACAGTGCCTCATCGTTGGTGTCAGTGGGGGAGGAACAGTGCCTCATCGTTGGTGTCAGTGGGGGAGGAACAGTGCCTCATCGTTGGTGTCAGTGGGAGAGGAACAGTGCCTCATCGTTGGTGTCAGTGTGGAGGAGGAATAGTGCCCCATCGTTAGTGTCAGTGGGGGAGAGGAGCGGCTGCTCCTTCTTCCAGTGCGGCCGCTCGATTTTCGCGGGGCCGCTCGGCTCCGCCTCCTCGCTGGTGATTGGTCGCCTGTGTGCCTTTCCCAATCACCGGTGAGGAGGCGGAGCCGAGCGGCCGCGCGTGACCATCGAGCGGCCGAACTGAAAGAAGGAGCAGCCGCGCTTCCTGGACCGGATCGTCGTGGGACCGGATCCAGGTAAGGTAAAGCAGCCCCTCTATCCACCCCTGTACTTAGTGTCCGCTGGAGGAGGAGGGGGGGGCGGCGCCACGCCGCCCCTCGAAAAAGTGCCGCCCTGACACCGGCTCGCACCGGCGTATAAGACGACCCCCGACTTTTCAGAAGATTTTCAGGGGTTGAAAAGTCGTCTTATACGCCGGAAAATACGGTATATTCTTTCCTACTTAATTTTTTTGGCTAGAGTACCACTTTAAAAAATTCCCTTTGTCATGATGTCAGAATAAACAGAAACATTTTCAGACACCTTACCCATCTTATTACTGAAACATTGGCTTGTCTTGTTCTTTTCAATCCTGAAGGCTACTATTATATGCAACACAAAGAGGTCTGTGTTCTATAAAAACTGTGATTTATAACACAGGTCTGCGACTAAAAAGCTGTTTGATTATTTTCATCTAATTTCCATGTATTTTGGTGTGCTGAAAAACAAATAAAATATTGAAAAAACTCCTAGATGTCATGATTTGCCACAAAATGCAAAATTGTCTTCAAATTTATAAAATTTTTGGTATTTTTTTATATTATGGGTTTTTAACCAAATTTAAAGTCCAAATTACTATTAATTAATTCACATAAGTGCATTTAAGATATAAAATGCCAAAAAAAATCTTAAAGGGGTTGTCCGAGTTATGTAAAAAAAAATATAGCACTGTAAATCTGATTGTCAGCAATATATATACATAAGCTAAGCAAGTTTTAGGGAAAAAAATTCTATTTCCTCATTTCCCTAGTTCTCTTCTGGCCCTTTGTTGTTATTTGCAGGTAAACAATCTCTGCCCCCCCCCCCCCCCCTGCAAAGGGGGTGAATACAAGTGCTGCTCTGAGTGACATGTCTGACTACTGGGATACTCAGTAGCATGCTGTTTGTGTAAGCCTCAGCCCTGAGTCTGTGCTTCTAATGGTAGAAGGGGTTAATCTTTCCTGAAGAATCCAGTGGGTGGGATACCAAATACCCTTGTTTTCTGTGTCTATGGGACAGTCAAGACCGACAAAATCACTGGACCAAGAAGAGGTGGCAGCCGAGGGTGCTAACAGTCGGTGAAAAAAAATGTCCTCGAGAAACTTTGGTACCTTCCCATAAAGTTCTTCTACCACCTCTCCACATAAAATTGGGATTGATGAAGCAATTCGTAAAATCACTTCTAAGAGATGGAGAATGCTTCAAATACTTGGTCACCATGTTTCCAGGCCTGTCGGAGGCAAAATTGAAGGAAGGTGTGTTCGTCGGACCAGACATTAGAAGGCTTATAGTTGATCAAGAGTTTGTCAATACCATGACGGATCCTCAAAAAGAAGGGTGGATTGCATTTAAAGAAGTCGTACCGAAATTTTTAGGCAACAAAGATCCTCACTACAAAAAGATCGTCGGACGAATGCTGAAAGCATTTCAAGCTTTAGGTTGCCTGATGAGTTTGAAAGTGCATTTCCTCCAGTCCCACCTTGACTACTTTCCTGAAAATTTGGGAGCTGTGAGTGAGGAACAAGGTGAACGATTCCACCAAGACATTAAAGAGATTGAAAGGAGATACCAGGGAAAATGGAGCATTACAATTAG